TTTGTCACACGAACACACATTGCTCATACGCAACGTTGGCCACAGGCTTCCTTGCTTCCACTGGCCTCGTTGGCTGCACTAATTAAACTTGTGCTCGGCTGTTATTATGGCTGCATTGCATGGCATCGGTTAATGTGTGTTACACGACATACCCGGACACCCAAGCAGCCTAGCATTCAAGCAGCCACACAGCTAAGCAACCACGCAGTGGCGCCTGTTGGCCGACCCACCTGACGCCCACCTGTTTTTATGCCGCTGTCGCATTGTCTTTCGAGGCCTTCGAGTCTGGGCCCCATAAAAAAGGTCTGCGGCGAGCGCGTTAAGCATTTATGTGTGCGCATCTAATTAAAATAATTTCGCATGGCAATGGCACTTCAAAGTCTAAATTGTCCTTATGGCTTATTTCGTTTCAACTGTAAACACACAAACACACAGCATACCCCAAGGCGCTGCGGCTGCGGCCAGGTGCTCTCTGGGGCAGGAAGCCAACAACATCAAGGGACAACATTAAAAGCGCGTGTAACGCAACGCAGCCAACTATTTGCGCACAATGTCTCGCTGCCCGCCTGCATCGCCAGCGTCCTGCCATACAGATATGTAATTATAATATTTTTTATTAGCTTATCTGATACGCCAGCAAAAAGAAAATAACATAAATTTACTTGCCGCTGCTTTTTTCCAGGACCTTTTGATTCGCCTGGGTCCGGTCTATTAAAATAAAAAAAACCAGCATTGAAGTTGAAATTATCGGACAGTTCACGGCGATGGTCAAATGCTCTATCCAAACTAAACTGAAAATCTAGTAATATATAGAAAATGAGAATAAATTCATTGCAGGAAAATTTAGCACAAATATTCTAAACGCTGCGTATATTTTTTTTATATTTAATTATGTGTTCTTGGTAACCCAAATATTCCTATGTTGAATGAGTGCAGAATTTTTTGAAATTTCTTTGGCTGTCTTTGGTTAGTTGACTAAACATTTTAATTTACTCTCAAAGTTACTTCACCCAGTCAAAACTAAAGGGTATCCGGGGAAGAAACTTGTTCATTTTAATGCACATTTTATAATAAATTTTAATATATGTACGTTGGTTGCGTTGCAGGTGGGGCGACGAGCACAGGTAAGGTATACCAATTTAGAGGATGAGGCACATTGTCAGAGAATCTACAACAACATAAACAGCAACAGAAACAACATCATTTTTTCTGCTCAAAGCCAAGCAAGGTAAGGTGAGCCGTGAGCCTTGAGCCCTGGCTCGAGCAGCAGTTGATAATATAAATGGAAAAACGAAAGGTCGACATTTATTATGAGGCTTTATCAGTAAAGGACATTTGTTCTGCTCCATGTAACGAGCTGGGGATATTTGGCTACTTGTAGAGCAGCCGGACAGCCCCAAAGCAAGACATGCACCGCTTTCCGCACCACCTCCCGACAATACTTCTCTGTGTTACTGGCGGACTGCAGGATGTCCCTGCTGTGGTCGGTTGTACTGGCAAGGCGCGTGTTTTCCTTGGGGTGGCATCTGTATCAGTTAGTGGACATGAGCGTCCGCTAATATGCCATTGGGCAATATGGCATTACGTGGCCGCGACTTACTCCACAAGCATAAAATGTGAACAACATGACCTTTACCAGCCCCCAAAAACTTCCCATTATGCGATTCATCTTCGGGATTCACTATTTATTCAATTGATAAAATTGCCCAATTAGAGATTTTCTTTTGGTCTACGGCACTTGCGCTTTTATCAAATCAAGTGAAGAATTGCCTTTTGCGAACCGGCGGTATTCAGTTGTCAACTGAGCACATATGCGTTTGCCGACTGCGAACTACGTACCCCCCTACCACCAACTGCGGCCCGCTTAGGGTGTCTTATCTGCAAGTCGGATATGCAGCCACTCAGGAGGGAAGCTGGTATTCGAGCTGGCGCACAGCATGTGGTCGCCTGAGAAAGCAGCCAGGCCTTGCTTGCTGTGCCGGTTCGTGCCGTGCTGAGCGTCAAAATCTTTAGTGCTTTGCTATTTGCGCATTTCCGGTTTCCGTTGCAGTTGCACGTCTTCAACCAATTCCCATGCCACCACAGATACATTCTTTATATGCAGCAAATATCCTCCTATGCACCAAATGCTTCTTATTCCACTGTCGTGCACGTTGTCGCTCCAGCTAGACGATGGGCGACCGGGCGATGGCTCCATGCATGGGAATTATTAACTAAACAGGCGGCATCAGCACCAACAGCAGCACCGACAACAGCAGCAAGGACGCCACACCGTTAAGGTAATGCACGTTATGGCGTCTGCATGCCAGAATGCAGCATCGCTTCGAGCCCCAGTTGATGGCGTCCATAAAGTCTGAAAAAATATTATGATGTGTGCATTGTTTGAAGTACCCGCCCACCTGCGCAGTTTACGCGTGTATGTGTGCGCCCAGGAACTTGATATGTATGAAAAGCTACAGCACCAGCAACAACACCAGATTCAGCTCCAGCTCAATGGCCCCAAGCCCCTGGTAAACCAATCGTTACTTTTTATGTGGCAAGCTTTAGCCAATATTTTCAGTTGATGCCCGCTAAGCTAGCAATGCCCAAAACAACTCCCGATCTGGTCATGGCTACGCTTCGGTTATGCAAGCATTGGCATAATTATTGAAAAGCTATTAACAATACGTATTGCAGAATAATATATTACCATAAATGAATGTAAAAAGGGGCTAAGAGTAAATTTACAGACTCTTGAGGTCTTTGAGTGAATTGTAGCAATTTTTCTTGAAATTTTTACTTTTCTTTAAGCTTTTCAACTACGCACTCGTAAAAAAAAAACATAGGCAATGTCAGCTTATGAACGCACGTTCCCATAAAACCGAAAGGGGGAGACGGCCGGCGAAATCAAAGTCGAAGTGTAAGTAAATAAAACATATTGTTTCTTATATAGGAAGACATTTTGCAAAATTGCCATGATTTGCAATGCAAATCAAACATAGCGCCATTATTTCACATACACACAAACACACACGCACTTACACGATATGTGGAAATAAAAGTGAAACCTCGGCGCATATGTTGCTTCAAAGACCGCGAACATCTGTCTGGCAGTCTGTCCGTTGTGCTTGAAACCATTGCGATAATAACGCACACAGGGAGTAGGAGTGTGTGCGCGTGTGTGTGAGTGAGTTGGTCTTAACCTGCGGCGCAAAGCGAAATAACAACTACAGAAAAACGGCAACAGCCGTGGCACAAAAACAAGACTAAAAAAAAAAGAAACAAAAAATAGCAAAAAATATGTTTTATACATTTTCCTTCACTTTGCATTTTTGCGTTGCCCGCTGCTCGCTGCTCTCTGCTCGGTTCTGGGTTCTCGGTGCTCCTGTTACCGGCAGTTATCCGGCCCCCAGTACGATGCCGGCCGCGCAGTCCTTGGCCCCGCGGCAAGCAATTGCCTTAACTGTGCGTGTTTTCATTGCGTTGTCTTTTCTTTTTTTATTTTTGTTTTTGTAAATTTTTGATTTGTTATTGTTGCACGTGTTGTCTTTTGCCTTTGTTATGACAATTTATGCCAGGCGGGAAACCAAGCAGTTCAACAAGATCAGGGGATGGCAGCATGTTGTTGTATATACGCCCAAATTTATATGTATTTATATACAGATGCACATTATTGTATACATACACATCCTATGCGCACACACTTTCCAGGCATAGCATAAATCTTTGTACATAAAACTCACTTGAAGTCATTTTTGACTTGGTGTCAATTATGAGAAAACACACCTAAAACAACACACATCCGGCTGGAAAATAATGTGAGGCAATATATATTCAAAAATATTTACATTCATGAATGTTATGTTATTAAATCAGACTGAATACACTCATAGTTATTCAATAAACTTTGAAATAAAATGCAATTTTCATTATTTTTACAAAATTTTTTTTGCTTGTTTTATTTGTTTTCCTTCAATATATTTATGTATACATAATATAAGTTTTTGTTTTTAGCCGTTTATTTTAAATATTATATTACGTGTTACTTCTATTCATCATTTCTATGTTGCAATAGTTGTTCTTCATGTTGTTTTTGTTTAGCTTTGTATATTTTCTTAATGCTTCTTCTCGCTGGCAACGCATCGACTAGGTCCTAACTTCTGTGCTGGCCCTTTATAATTACATTCGAACCTCATTTTGAGAAGCCTGCATTTTCGATTTTCATTGTTTTCCTTTTTTTTTGTATATAATTTGTATATTTCGCTTGCTTTTTATTTGGTTTACTCTGGCGCGTTGGTATACAAAAAACACGACCAAATTTTTGTGTTCTTTTATTTTCACTTTTAACTATAAATATTTTCTTTCTTTCATTTTTTGGTTGCTATGCTTAATTTGATTAACCTTTTAATATCCGTTACGTTGTTTCACTTGTGATTTCTTATGAAAACGCCATTTTGTATATATGTTTGCATGTGTGTGTATGTGTATGTGTATGTGTGAGTGTTTAGTTATGCCTGATGCCATAAATATATATATATATATATTTTTTTTTATATAGATATATATATTATTTTGCAGTATATTTAAAACATAGCTTATTCCTTTTATTTTTTGTTTCTGCTTATTTTTGGTTTTGCCTCATATTTTGCATTCATATTTTTCCTGTTTGTTTTTGGGGTTTGTGTGTACTAATCCTTGTCCTAAAACACACTCAAACATTCTTAAATTTCTACAAAATATTTGCAATACTGCAGTCGATATCTATACTTTGTTTATTTTATTTGCTATTTGCTTATCATATTTTATGTGTTAATACACATGCGATTTATATATATATATATATATATATATATATATATATCTTTATATATATATAGACTACACATTTATTTATATGTATTTCTTTAATTAATGTGTGAGTGTGTTTGTGTGTGTGTGGATGCTTATGTGTATGGTGAATTGGTGTGCACAGTTTGTCTGCGTCTTAGTGTGATGCTTTCCAAAAACTACATATGCATGTCTTTGGTATTTTGTATTTCTTTTATTAGCAGCTTTTGGTTATTTGCTCATCATTTTGATTTCTTCTACATTTGTTGTGTATTTGGTTTACAATCTTACTGTGATTTTAAATGCATAAAATGCATGCATATGCCCTCTGGAATATTGCACATATGTATATTGTGGATCGCTTCCTTCCAGTGACTTGCGCAACTGCCTCAAATGTAATCTCGTTGGCATTTGATATTATAAGAGGGGGCTCTTCTAGCTGTACTTACATTTCTATTATAATAAGTTTGCTAGTTTAACGTTTAATATTTGAGTTGGTTTATATCATATGTTTGTATTTCTAAGTATACGAGGCGACAAATAACATTCGGCCGTCGGTTGAAGGGGTTTTTCGAGTGGTCGCCCTATGGCTCTGTTAATTGTTGCAAGTTCGCGTTGTTATTAAGCAAAAACCCATTTACATAACTGTCTATGTTAGATGTAATTTATGTCACGTTTATTTGCATCGTGTTAGCTAACAAACCGCATTCCTCCGGTTTTATGGGTTTGAGTACTGCCCTATGTTAATATGTTAAGTTATGTAATTGTTTATACTCTTATTGTATTGTTGCTTAAATAATACTTTCATTTGATTGATTTTCGGTTTTTGCTTTGTTGTAATTTGATTTGATTTTTTTTTATTTTCATTTAATTTAATTTATGCTATGTTCCTTAATTACAGACTGAACTCTGGCCCTATCTTCCTTCTCGTTATGCTTATGTGTGTCGTACAATTTTGCTAATGCTCCAGTTTCAGCTTTTCAATAATTACACACCGAATTGACTAAATTGAAATTGCAGTTCATAATCATAAACTACAATTAGTTCATTTTTGTTTCGTTCTCTCCAAAACGACAATTACTTTAATTTCATTTTTAATATTAAATGAGTTTCAAATATATTATAGAGAAATCCAACAGATCAATTGAGCTATGAACTTTAATATCCTGACTGCGAGAAAAGGAAAACGCATGTTAAATCATAACAGGGTGTAAGAAACTTAGTTTCGACTGGAGCCCCAGTTAGAACTGGAGAGTAATCAGTTACCGCGTCCAATTTGACATACTTATTAATCTATAGAAAACATCTTTCCTTGTCTGTTGGTTTGTCATTATGTAGTTGTCCTTAAAAACGCCCATAAATATTTTGTTCATTTTACTTGTTTTGCTTTATGGTTGCGCTTGTTGTTGTTGTTGTTGATACTGTATATATATAAATATTTTGTATATGTATATGTTTGTAGACGTATATAAATGTCTTAGCACATTCATTAGTTGCACAACATTAATACTTTTTTTTCGCTTTTTTCCTTTCTTTTTTTTATCTATTGAATCTTTATTACTTTTCTATATCTTAACGCCTTAAGTTTCTGTTTTATTATTATATTATTCAGTTTCCAACTCTGGGTTAGCTTCTATATGGAAACTACATATTTAACTCTTTACTGATATGTTGTGCAAACATTAACAAACAAACCAATAATATATGTATATAATTTTTTTTTGTATACTTTTAAAGATTTTTTTTGTTTTTTTTTTTTTTGTTTTTTGTTTTTGTAATATAAAGTTTGCTTTTCATAAATGTTGTGTTGTGTTTTTTCTTAGCCAAATTTTTTAAACTTTTTTTTATTGGTTTGGTCAACAATGCTTTAAATTTGTATCTGTCTAAGTTATCGTTTACTTAACAAAAATCATCATTTTCATTTTTCTTATTTTGTCGCTTTTTTTCATAAACAAAATAACAACACAAAAATGCAGTTAACGCATCGGCTTCAATCGCTCAGAATCGAAAGCTCTGCCTTGCTCCGGTTTAAAATCACATCTACGTCTAAATCGTTTCTTGTCATGTTGAAACATGCAATGCCTCTCATAGTCCAACTACTCGTTAGTTCTAGTGCTAAAAACATCTTAGTGTACATTACAACTCGCTTGTTTCTTAAGCTATGTCTGTTTTGTGGTTCGATTAGGTTACGGTTAAGGTTACGATTACGGTTACGGTTACGGTTACGGGTACGGTTACGGTTACTGTTACGGTTAAGGTTAAGGTTATACTTTGCGATCCTGCGTATGTGAGCTCGGTTAGCTATAGACATGCATACACAACATTCAATTATGTATTTTGAACTCTAGTACTACTACTTGCCTCTCCCTCCTCTCCGCTAACTGTCATTGCACTTCCCGGCTGTATGAAAAAATGCAGCCAATTTTTGCGAGTGTGTGTTCACAAAATATTGTAAACAATGCGCACACACTCACATCAATCGGATTAAAAAAATAAAGATACGCCGAAACGATAAAGATAAAGCTCGCCATATGCAAATCAAAACCTGGCTTTCCCCCAGCTGCCCCTTTTAACAGCAAAATTCAACTGCAATTATTTTTAGTTGATCTATTACATGTTATATGTATGTTGTTTTTTTTTTTTGTTATCATTTTAATTGGTTTTTATTTTGAACATTTATTTGATAAATTATCATCCAAGACATACTCGCACATTTATGCATAGATATAAGTATGTGAAGGACCCACACGAGAATATCATTTGCGGTGCGTTCTCGTACCTAGTTTACTGTACTTGTCTGTATGTATATATGTATATGTATAAGTATACTAAATTACTATGCTAGATGTGTATGTATGTATACCTTTAAATATGAGTATGTATTGATGTACACAATACAAGCAAATTTTCTTTCTCTCTTAATACTTTCTACATAAACTGTAATATCTCTAGCTGTATGCATGTGTGTATCTTTGTATGTATGTGTTAAAACTAACTCTTGTTTGACATTCAGTGAACTACGATTTCTATATGCCTTTCATACAAACGTACACTCAGATGAAGGGTGGCCAGTATGGGAGGCGTGGTGATGCTGCACCAGGTTCGACTGTAAGTGTACCCTCTTTTTACCCACTGATGACTCAGCTAGATCTTATACGAAAAGTTCTACATGCCATATACAGGGGGCATCTCAACTATTAAGTAATGTGTGTGTGTGTGTGCGTGTGTGTTTGCGTGTTCCTATGCTCACTAACTAGTTCACTTCGTATCTGTTTGGATGTTTTGTATAGTTTGCGCTAATTGCTGTTTTGTTATTTCTGTTGTAATTGTTGGGCATTGTCGGACATGCATAAAATTAAACAGGATCTTCGGAATTTGCATTATTGTATTTTTGGTTTGTTTTGCTGAAGCGAATTGGTTATGCGCTCATTTAATTTCTATGTAAAGGTATTTTATTACAGTTTTGCATTTATTATGGCTAATATCAATTAATATCATTCGATGGCATATTTTGATTGTATTCATTATATGTACGACTATGTAGGTATGCATGTACTTGTGTGGCGTTTCCTCTAGTGTTAGCTAATCCCTCTCCCATACATTTCACAGACCATTTACACTCGCAATTTGCTATTCCCTACCACATTTTATGGCTATCAACTTTGTGAACTCGATATGAAGGAAATCATTTCCAGTCTAAGGCCGGCAAATAAATAAATGAGAATCAACTTGAGTTCGACTTAAACTGAGCTTTACAAAATACAAATAAGAGTATGTTTGTGGGTAGAGTATATGAAATATAGCAAATTACAAGTGCTATAGACTTGTGGAACACATGGGTTTCATCTGTATCTATATATCTTTACATAATTTGTATCTGGTTTTTGTTTGTTCTAACACAATAAATTTGCAGCTAACCATTCATCTTCTGGCAACTGAAATAAAAACATACATTTTATACGTTTATTTAGTATAAACAGATGATATTTAAATGCAAAAGCAAGTCAAAATATTTATGTGGAAGTTTTGTAATGTTGCTTTGTACATGTCTTTTCAAAGAATTTTTCAATTTCACGTGAACTTATAAAATTATAAACCAAATGAAATTATTGCAAACTGAGTGAAAATAAAAAGAAAAATCAAGTGTTTATCTTGCTGCTATTAATTACAAAGCTGGTGTGACAGATAAAACGTAAGCTTGACGCCATATTTAACGAGGTTTGGCTTCGAATTCCAAGATCAAGTTTATGTTTGAGTTTAGCTTGTGGCTGGATTGCATTGGACTTTGTTGCGCTTATCAACATATAATAAATATTTACGAGTATATCATAAGTTCTTTCATATACTATTAACTGCGAGTGCTTGTGGTTATATTTATGTGTTCTGGGACTGTCTGCGAATGAGTGTGTGTGTGTGTGTGCGTCTGTGTGTATGTATCTGTATGTAGGAACATATCTTTCAATTACTGAGCAATCACAAAATAAAGTACTATTTAGTTATATGAGCTTTAGTGCGTTAGCATGTTGCAATGGTCTAACAATTCTTTGTAACATTTAGTTGCAGACTATAGGAAAATGATAGCAGGAAATGTCGAGTTCACCAATTGTCTGGCTTGTCTTGGCTAGGCCTGGCAATTGTCTATATATGTGTGTGCGCTCACATGACAATGTGGCGACGTTCTCGTCTAGATCTACGATAGTAACAGGCACTAGTGCTATGTGTATTATCATTGTGATATTAAATAGTGTATGCATTTGAGTGTGTGGTAAATGCTGCTAAGCGACTATCAGAAGCTGAGCACAAAAGTAGGCAATGTTAAATAATGCGGTTACGCATACAAGTATGAATATGTGTGTGTATGTACGTAGCTGTGTGTGGGTGTGGGTCGGGGCTGTGCCAAGGGGCTCCTGGGTATGTCTGCGTCTGGCTTGTCTGCACGCATGTCACAACACATACAGACATACAAATTTGTGTAAATAAATGTGGGTGTACGTTGTGTGTGCACGTAATTAATTTTAACGCATTTTTAATTATGTTTACTTTTATTTAATTCCGCGCTGGCGCATGTGACTGTTTGTGTGTATATGTGTCTGTGATCGCAATTTGTATGAGTGAGGCTGCTTTGCACAATACACATGGAAAACAGCATACTTTATTTATGGCTTCTCCTTTTTTTTGCTTTTTTAATCAAATTGCTTTTTACTTATTTAAGCAATATATTTCTTTTGTAATTATCATAATTTTTTCTTCAATTAGTTATAAATCTCTCTATTCGTAGCATGCTAAACACATTTATATAAAGCATAATTTTCATTTGGGAATTATTTTTTTTTTTTGTTTCTTTTAATATTTTATTTTTCTGTTTAAGGCTTATACAAGGGCCGCGTGCAAGTGTTTATGAACCAAATACTTCATAAACAATTGCAAATGGATGTGTGTGCTTTAGCATATTTTGTTGTGGTTCTACTTTGGTTTTCGGTTTTTGGCTTTTGGCTTTTGATATTTGGGTGCAGCACTCAACATTCGACGGACGCCAAATTGACGTCAATTGTAAATTTCTCGGCGCTTCGCATTTATTTACAGCTGATTTTTGGCTATGTTTCTGTTCAGAACTTCTGCTGTACTTAAAAAATTTGGATAGTATTTTTTTTTCTTTTTTTTTTCTGTTGTTTACTGTGCCTGCAAAAGTAAAGGATAAACCTTAAAAAATAATATGGGTGTTAGTAAAAATTGGAAAAAAATAGTAGACGGAATAAAATTATTTATAATGCAGAGAAAACTTGATGCAGCTTTGTGTATATTTTATTATGATTGTTGCATTAAATACTTTGTAACTAGCAGTAGCATAAATTTGATTTGTTGTATAATCTACGTGAGTATTAAGCGAACGCATGAGATTAACAAATAAAAAATAACTATTAAATAATGCTTACGATACTTTCAAAATATGTTGATATTCAAAGCACATGCTTTTAAGCGGGGATTATGTATTGAAATCGAATAAATGCAGGTAGAATGTATATGAAAATGTTTTTTATGTTTAATTATTATTTTAAACGGCGAGCAATATTTAAATATTTTATGGTTTGTTTGTCGTTGTTGTCCCTTGGCTTTAAAAATGCAGTGGCAAGAACTTTTCTTTTAATAAAATTTTTTTTTTGAAAATAACCTTTTGTTTAATATATGTTTTTATTTACTTTAGCCTGTGCATAAACTATGTTTGTATATGCGCTCAGAATAAGTTATTGACTTAATACTCATGAATATATTTGAAACAAAAATACTTGTTTATTTATATTTAGTCCCATATTATTTTCTTCATTATTTAAGTTGTTTTGTGTTTTTTTTTTTTTAACCCAATATTTGCAATATTTTAAAATATATAAGCTGAAAATTCGCAAAGCAGGCAACAATAGAAAACTAAAAATCGAAAATATGTCAAAGAATACCATTGCTCATACATAAATATGTCTCATATATAAATAAACAATAAACAAATAAGCGAAATAGCAAACAACCGGATCGAGCGAATTAGATTAAGTACGTATTCAAAGCATTCAACGAACATACTAGACTCATCGAGAAATTGAATATATGTATTTACAATTGCGAGCTAGTATTGCATGTATGTGTGAGTAGTGGTGCGTGTGTGTGTGAGTGTTTATGTCTTTATGTATTGGTATAAGTTAGCACCTACCTGTGGGCTCACTTGAAACTGCTGTATCGGATAAGCAACCACGCCGGCGGCCTGTGGTATAGCAGTGCCTGCAACACCCGTTGCCAACTGTTGGGCCGGCGAGATCTGGGCCTGGGTGACGCCTTGCCAAGTGGCTGGTATCTGCACGCCCATTCTGCAAGTGGAGTGACAACGAGAACATGCGCATGAGTATAAGACAAAGGTTGATGATGGCAACAGAGCCCATGTGTCGAGATCTGACTGCGCGGCGTTTCCCTGACGCCTGCCGTATGCGACAATTACCACGGACGAGACAGAGGACTACGGCTACATGACAGTTACACTTACAAATCCAACAACTCCGACTAGCACACTGCCAACAGTCGAGCATGTGGAATTGCATGACGTACACCGGGTACATATACGCCGCAGTCGCAAATGAAAACTTTAGCAATTAGCAAATGAATTCACTCATCCGTCATGCTGTCGCTGCCCATCCCCTGTGGCGGTTCAATCATTTTGTGTAAAGAACCATTGAGTCGGGCTGCGGGCAGGGCAGGGCAGAGCAGGGCAGGGGAAACGCAACGCAGGCGCATCAGCTAATGAAATAATTATGCATAAATCGATGGCAACGGCATCGAGTTAACCTACCCCATGTAGCCCTGCTGATAGCCTCCGTACTGGCTGAAATGGTAGCCTTGGATGCCCTGCAGGAACTGATTCTGTACAGCCGCAGCGCTGGCGGCCGCTGCAGCAGGTGTTACAGCGGCTGCGGTGGCCGACGAGGTCGGATAGGTAGGCGTCGGCGAATACCAGCACCCAGTGGCGGCCAACTGCTGCCCATAAGCGGCAGCGGCGGCAGCAGCAGCGCTCACGCCATACGGAAAGCCAGCGGCAGCGGCGCTGTTCAAAGCCTGACTGGCCATAGACTGGGAATTGTTTGGGTCGCCGCTCTCCTTGCCCCAGGAGCACTTAACAGGCTGTGCATTGATTTCGGTGTTGTGCACACCGACGATGGCATGAGTGGCGGCCTCCTTGGTGGAAAAGCTGCAAGCAAAAGACGTGGCATGTGGCAAATGAGCATCTGGGTACCTGTGGCATGTGCCTACACTCAACTTACCGCACAAATGCGTAGCCCTTGTCCTTGAAGACGCGTATTTCCTGTATCGCGCCGTAGGGCGCAAATGTTTTCTGTAGCACCTCCTCGCTGAGTGCGGTGAGGGCGCTGTTAACGCCACCCACATAAACGGTGCAATTGGAGGGACTGCTCTGGTTGTAGACCTCATCGAAAGTCAACGGCTTGATGTTCTCTAAAGTATGAAATATGAGAACAGAAATTGGCAACGATTTCCATTAGTGCGAATTCATTTCGATATTTCGCAATTGTTGCCCTCAAGCCACAATTAATGACTGCAGTTTTTATGCCTCTGTCGTGCAGACATCCTTTTTTCATATTTTATGTCTCTTGTTGTTTCTGTTGTTGTTGTTTTTGTTGTTTTCAACGAACTGCATGATTAATATGCAAATTAATTAAGGGTTTTGCCCGCAGCAACAACGACTACAACGTCGGTTGCCTACGGTTTTGGTAATTAAAATAACCGCATACACTTAGTCAAAATGTTTCAGTGTGTGTGTGTGTGTGTGTGTATGGTTATATGTGTGTGCGTGTGTGAGTGTGTGTCAAAGGGTGTATATGTACTGCTGTGCGACAGCATTTACCGTTACTTCAATTCTTGTTGCTGCACTTTTAAAAGTTGTTGCTCTTGTTATTGCATTTTTTATTATACGTATTTGTTGTATACACATTTTACATATTTTACGTATTTTACGGATTTTTTGTATTCTTTCGTATTTTTTCCATATTCAACTGAGAACTGGGAGCCAGTAATTGGGAGTTGGCAACCCAAATTGTTCGCCATATTGTGGCTTTCTGTGTTGTTGTGGTTCTTGTTGCCATTATTGCTGTTAGGTCTGTTGGTGGCACTGCTATACGGCATTTGTGCACGTACTTATTTCTATGCAAAAGTTACACTAATTACTTCCTTTGAGGTTAAAACAAAATTTGCACTTTTAAAAATAATGTCAGGTTTGCGTGTTTATGTCTTTGTTTAGTTTTCAACAATTTTTAGGCGTTGTGAACCAGACTTTGGCGAAGCTCTGAGTATGTTACATTTGGTTAACCGACGGCTTTTAAAAAAAAAAACGACTATCGAACTTTAAGGGAACATGAAGATTCGCTTAAATGCCGGTTCAATACTCGGTAAATTCACATAAGTCAGTTTCATAACAAGCAGACTTGCTGCGTAAATACACTAATATTTTTGGTAATAATATGATCATTTTGATTTTACAAAAAACATGCAAATATGAACATGATTTAACTATAACTCTTGTCAGTGCACAAACAACTTATTGTGTTTATTATTAATTTATTAAACTGTACGCCAATCTGTTTCCATAAAGCAAGCATCTCTTTAGCACTTTACAACTTAGCATTAAAACCAAAAAGTTCAGTAAAAATGAATATTTTTAATAAGAAGCGTAGCGCACCGGCGCCAATCGTATTAGCCTAACCGGTGTAATGCAACGAATTTACCCCGGCATTAAAATGCCTTTACATGCCCCTAGCTAGCAATACCTGTCTCTCTCGCTCTCTCCAAATCGCTCTCACTGAATACCTGTTTCTTTCTTGGTGCTTTGCAGCGGGCCCAACCACACAGAAAAATATGGCTCAATAGCATGCAACAGGACAATTCCTGCGCTTACACACAACACATACTCACACGCACCAGGTCACCAACACTCACACACACGACGAACCAGCTTTACAGCAGGAGTAACAACAACATGCAAAGACCCTGTCGAGGGTGCAATGTAGAAACTAACAAGCTTGCAAATATTTTTGAAAGCTTTTGCCACAAATGAATACGACTTGCCGACGACACACTCCAACACACACACACACACAGACACACACACACGTGCATGCATCCATATACAGATGCCCTCACGTACTCTCAGCGCGTGAGGGGCTCATGCAAGCGACATTGCATACTTTTGAGCGCAATGTTTCACTAATTTGCACTTTGCTTTGTGCTTCTGCCATCGTTTCATTTCTTTGCCTCTATTTTTCTTTACGCTTTTAAATACGTGTAATTAAATTTGGATATGTAGGGGTGCGACACACACACGTACGTGCTTAGCCTTGAGGCGATTTGCAGTTGCCGTTGTTCTTGTACCTTTTGGGCGGGTCAACGTTGTCCCTTGCCACATTTCATTTCATGTCTGAACCAAATTAAAGTGCTTGGCGACGTTGCTGCCCGTAGCTTTCACTGCCAGTGTGGACATAATTATCACGTTAAAACTAAGCCCCTGGCCCGCGGGCAGCCTACATGAATAACAACAAAGCCAAGCACCAGTCTGACTGCCTGTCCGTATAGCTCTCCCTTTCTTCTCTCTCTCCCCCTCCCTCTCTTCTCTCTCTCTCTCTCCTTCTCTCTTTCTCCCTCTCTCTTTCTCCTCTCTCTATCTATCTCTCTCTCTCTCTCTCTCTCTCTCGCTCTCTCTTACTATTTCTTTTATATAGCTGCAATTTTAATGAGCAATTAGTGTCATGTAGAACCTAATGATAAATTAATCACACAATCATTAACGTAAATAATTCAAACTTATATGCATACGTCACACCCAAAAACAAGAACAATAAGCACAAAAACCTGACGGCAAGACAATTGTGAATTAGCCCCGCTTATTTTCAACTAATTAATATGCATTGAGTGGGTGTGACCACGTAAGTTTGATGTTCGTGCCTGAGACATAAATAGAAAAAGAGAGAGAGAGAGAGAGAGAGAGAGAGAGAGAGAGAGAGAGAGAGAGAGAGAAGTGAGAGAAGTGAGAGAACTATATTCAGAGTATTTTATAATTGGTCTTCAACAGTGAAGAACTTAGATCAAATAAATATATTATATATATACTTCACTTCACTTTACTATATTGAACAAGTAAGCTCCCGACTAGGGGATACCCTGAACCCTCTCCTTTCAACATTAAATGAATATATATATTCTATTTTAGAAGCTATATGTCAAATTTGGGGACTCTAGCTGTTATTATTTACCAAAATTGCCCAAAAAACCGGATATCGATATCGAGTTTTGTCGATTGCTTGGAAACGGAGTAAGTTATCGATTATCGGAAACTAACTCGATCTGCGCAGGCACTAGCAGCACCTACATCTAAAATTTCATATTTCAGTCTGTAGCTCAGTCTCTAGCTCTTATAGGTTCTGAGATCCTTGCGTTCATACATACGGACGGACGGGCGGACGGACGGACAGGCGGACATGGCTAGATCGACTCGGCTATTGATACTGATCAAGAATATATATACTTTATGGAGTCGGCGATGTTTCCTTCTGCCTGTTACATACATTTGGATTTTGCACAAATAGAATAACCACTTTAAATGGGTTCAGGGTATAAAAATATAAAACGTTGTTAACTGATTATTGGGCAACGAGTTATTTGGATCCCTACTATGTACTGAATGGATTAATTTTCTATATATTAAAGTTTTCCGCTTTTAATATCTGTCATACTGTACTGTCATATTATCTTACCAGTCTGATGCTATAAGAAATGAATATGCAGCTTTTTTATCAAAATGCTTTCTTAAATTTAAACTTTCAGGAGTAGGTCATAAGTTAAGCACATGCTGTTCGCTGAACTTATTTACAGCATATGAATAGGAGTCGGCCACATAATTTACATTGAGCTGGAACTTTTCATGTATACGATTACAAAAACAGTAACCAGCACTTGGGCAGCGCATTGAGGCATTTCAACTTTTACTTAATTGTGCGCAACTCTGCATAAAATGTTGATTTATTGCAGCAACTACAACTGCCAGGTAAATAGGCGGCCCACGCACACAGTCAAATAATTTGCCTCAAGTTTGTGTCGCCCCCCAACTCAGTCGCTTTCTCTCCTCCTCTCCGTCTCTCTCAGTCCACGAGCACTCAGCAGTCGACAGTTTGCCATTGCAAAACAGTCAAAAGTCAAATAGTTTTGGCACAGAAATTTGTCATACAACATAGTCGTCGACGTTGTTGTCGTCGTCGTCGTCGTCGTCGTCGTGGGCTTTGTGTTACCGGCATATTGTTTCAGGTTAATTAAGTTATTACCATAATGAGCTTGTAAGTATTTTGGCCTTTATTTATGGCATGCATTGAAATGAAGTCGCAGTCGGGGCCTTAACCGGTTAACAAAAGCAAAACTTTGGCAGAAACTTTTGCCACGAGCTGTTGTCGACAATAAAAAATGGCAAATGCGTTCGTTATAAGCCATGAACCTAAAAAATATAAAAAAAGGAAGCGGAATATTACAAAGCGACGCCAAAATTGTCACAACTGTAAAATGCGCAATTGCGTCGGCTCGTAAATCTTAGCTACAAAAGGAGGCGGCACACAAAGAAATACACACACACACACTCGCAGGCAAGTGGCTTACTAAACGCCGCAACTGCGGACTGATTGCCATGGCCATAAAATGTGCAGCCTGCTTAAAACATAAAAATGCCAGAACAAGACTGGCCAAAAGCATCCGCACAGCAGCAGCAGCAGCAGCAGCAAAGTGGCAGCGTAAAACATCAAGTAATGCCAAATCCCAAATGTGAAATGCGAAATGCGAAATGCGAAATGAGTTGAGTGCTACAAATCGTAAGAGTTGCCTGCCAGCAGGCACCCCAAGCAACTAGACAAGGCCATAAAGTGCTCAACCTACTCAAACACACACGCACACATATCAAAGATTTATGCACACATGCACACGCCAACATGTGTGTGAGCCCCATGGAAAACCCAAAACCCTTTATAGAGCGTCGACTAAGCGACAGCTCGTAATTGTGTAAAATCTTTGTCGGCGTCTTCGATTTTGGGTCCTGGCTGCTGAGTCAGCTACTCAACCAAACAAAATATCCAAATTATTTCGCTGCCAAATTGCTAATAATAACTTGTATTACAGCAAAAACTACCACAGCTAAGCCCTGTACAATTCCCGCTCGGCCGGAGCACAGACAAAGCCGTGACAAAGGCAAATAAACAATGAGACCAATAAAAATTCGCTTAGGCTTTCATAGGCGTTTTTTATGACAACAATATAAATGCAAAAGCAAAAATTCATGCACATAGTTGTTGTTGCCCCAAAAATGGGAACCCTTCAACATGTCAGACCTTCCTTCGCACGATAAATTCCACCTTGACGCTGTGTGTGTGTTTGTGTGCTTGTGTCTGGCTGTGTGTATGTGTGTGAGTGTGCCAAATGTTTGTTCTATAACCATGAAATTTTTGCTATCCTGTTTCTCAGTATGTGTGTGTCTGTGTTTGTATGCCTTTTATGATAATAGTTTCGTGTTGGCAAAATTTATTTATCTGATTTGCGCCCTATCTTACTTTCTCTTTAAGTCTGTGCCAGTGTGTTTGTGTGTGTGTGTGTGTGTGTGTGCGTGTGTGTGAGTATGTGTGTGTGTAAGTCAAACAAATAAAAATTATGTTAAAACATGCAAATACGCATTAACTTTTGATTTATGAGAGACAAAGGCGAAATGAAATGAACCCGCCCTCCGTCGCGATTGTTCGCTAACTGTTAATAATGATTACGCTAGTTACAGTTAGTTTTGTGGCTAGGAGCAAGCTGAGGGCGTTCGGAGGCGTGCCCAGATGAAAATTGATTCGCCGTGTCTAATAGAATATGTCGCATTACTTTTATTTTTGGGACCTTTCGCCGTCGACTAATTGAAAAAGTTTAAACCGAATTTTTGGACCGCGGCCCATTACGGAAATTAAGCGCGTGCGGTTTTTCAGAAAGAAAAAAATATAAAGAAAACATAATCTGGTGGAAAATTTGCTGCGACACGTTTATAAATAGCGGACGGGTCGACGGGTCGACGGGTTGGTGGCTCGATGGGTCGATGGGTCGGTTTTTCGCCGGCTTACTTTTCTTCTTTACCTTTGGCCCGTAACATGGCACTGATACCTTTGGCATTCATTGCCATAATTTCCTGTAATAAGAGCGATGCGTCGACTCCTGGCAACAAAGGCAAAAACAACAAGCGCAACAACAATGGCTACACGAGCAAAGGCACCTGGCTCGCTGGCTCGCTGACCCGCCTACTTGGCTGCTTGGCGAGGTCGCCATACGCATGGCCGGAAGCCTGGGGCCAGGCCAGGTGACAGTCATGATTTCCTTACCTTTACTCGCCGGCGGTTTCCGTGTGGCCCAATTCGTGCGAATTGAGCGCGAGCCAAGCCACTGCCCGTTCATGGCCGTAATGGCACTCTCAGCTTCCTGTGGCGCGATGCAAAAGAATGAGAACAAGAGAATAAGCCAGTTATAGATAATAAGTAATAAAGCATGAGCATGCATTTAAATAAGTGCGAAGCGCCTACCGATTTCTTAATGAACGACACAAAACCGTAGCCCTTCGATTTCAATGTTTGTGGATCGCGCACCACACGGCAATCACTGCAATGAGAAAAGTGAGAGAAAATTCAAATTAATATTCAGTATAAGCTTCTTTAAGGAACTTAAAAATCTTTTACAGCAGCATTTCAGCGTGATTACAATTCTCTATGAATGTTTTCGCTTCGTTCGCCCAGGCAATCGAGCCGGACATTAAATTCGGAAATTTAATAATCTGACTGAGAACACCTAATTTATCTTGGAGTAGCTGAAGCGTTTCTAGACATGATTATGATAGGACATTTAATCTGTATAACTTTCGAACAATTGAAAAACAGTTGAGCTAAAATATGACCACTTAAAATATTTATATATATTTTCGTTTTATTAAAACTGTTTCATCTCAACACTTTAGTAGCGATTTAGTTGATTGCCCGGCGACCGCGCTTCAAATTGATTTCCCACAGCAATTCTAAGGAGTCCACAAATTTTTGGGACCATTCGCCATGGCGCTGCCAGGGCAACAGCTAAGCCAAGCTGCCAGCAAAGTTTGGCAATTACCCCTGATCTGGCAGTTTAGTTAACACTGTGCCAGGGACGTTGGCAATGGTGGCCGGCAACTTTTTTTATGATTATTATAAGTAAACTGGCGGCAGAGCCGTCGAGCGGACGGGCAGACGGCTTATTAAATATTCACACGCGCCGCGCATTTAACAAAACGGAACCAGAAATGCGCCAAGGCCCCCAAACATAATGCCAAAACCAGGCAACAACAAAAACGTACTAAAACCTCAGGCGAACAAAAAAAAAAAAAAAAGGAAATCTAAAATAAAACCCGAAAACAAAAAAGAGGCAAACAACCACGCATAAAACTTTTGACAAAGAAGTCGTTGGCCCCATTCTAAGAAAGTGGCGGCGGCTGATCCCAGTGCGACGCACGAATGAGTCCGTATCCGATACGGAATATCTGTATCCAAGTTCGTCGCGGCTGTTTGCATTAAGCGTTTTGACATGTTGGCTACCAGCACTCATCTCACGACAAATGCCAGCAGCGTACGAAAAGAAAGTTATTGAAGTCCCAGTTGCCAACAGGCGGGAGCACAGACTCTTACTCAAACTGTGACTTAGATGGTCGGAAGGAGATGTGAGGCTTGTGTTGCTTCCGGTTGCCTGAGCCGCTCCGGCTGCTGGTGCTGGTGCTGCATGTGAGAGCAATCATATCAGTGATTATGATATCCAAGATATGTATCGCTAAGATGCCAATCGATTGCTCAATAAGCCGCCAAATCAGCTGCTTAAACGCGTAGCCATCGATACGCCAACACACTTGAGGTAAATTACGATGTGAGAGGCACAATGCTTTATTAGAAGACATGCGCCGCTCATTAGCACGTTAAAGAGGTCTAAGGGCGACTGGACAAAAGCCCCGCAGCCAAATCAAAGCCCTAATCATTTTAATGAGTTTTAAATTATTAACATTTGAAACTGCGCCCGTTAACAAGGGCAGCGGGAGTGGTGGGCTGCCAGGGGGCGGGTGTCGGCACATTGATGAAACAAACAAGCGAGTAATCCAAAAATCAAATACTTTGGCCAACATTTTATGCCAGTCGCCGGCGGGCAGGACATGCCACAGAGCCTCTGTCAGCCATTTGGGCCAAAACTTTGCGCCCCAAACAGCAGTTAATTAAGTCAAGTTTTATGCTTTGTTGTTGTTGTCTACGCTGTTGACCATCAGCTTTAGTCGGTTGAGTCTTTTCAAGCCGAAAAACAGCAACTTAAATATTTGACGTTGTTGTTTCTCCGAATTGTTGCAACAATTTAACTTAAGCGACACTTTTCGTTTACTTTTGACAGCAGCTGGCAGGCTCAGCACAGTGGCCGCTAAAAGAGTTCGCTTAAGTGATATTAACATAAATATACTTTTCGTGCAGTTATGCATTTTTTATGCGAGCTACCAAGCGGCTTACTGCGATGGGCCAGCAACCACCTCACATACGCCTGCCAATAAATAGCGCGAGCGTCGAATGCGCGTCCCCAAAAATTGGCGAAAAACCTGGCAAAAATGCGGAATGGTAGGCAACCTCGAGAGCGGAATGTGAACTGTGAAAAGAAAAATTTGCATTTTAATACTTACGAGATTTCGCCGAAAGGTGTGAATGCTTCGCGCAACTGCTGAGTTTCAATTTCTGAACTTAAGTCGCCCACAAAGATGTGGAATTGTTCTGCAAAAGATACAAAAATAAGATATATTGTGAAAATACCTTTAATATGTGTATTTATGTACGGTTATGAATTCAACCTTTTATATAATCTATTATTTACAAATGTGGTTTCTAGCAAATTATTGATTTAATGTGATTTCTTTTTATAGCCTTCTAGATTATGTACTATAATTTTATCATAACCTTTCGAGTATCCTCAACAAGAACAGCCGCCACGACATCATCTCTCAGTTTCAATGCCTAACTTTTTGTTGCGAGCAGTATTTATGTCCGAATCGTTCAGATAGATACACTAGATATATACTGTCATACCAATAATACCAATAATTGCAAAATTAAGGTCTTTTATAAAACGGGTGTGAGAGTAATATCTATAGCATCTTTTTCATTATAAGTAGGAGTCAAATTGGACAGACTTTAAAAGAACTTGCTTAAGAAAATAAGCCCTTAAATGTTTCAAGGACCAGCAATTACAAGCTTTACTATTCTCCTCATATATATATATCTGGTAAGCCATAAACCATATGTCTACAGACCATATGTCTATAAGAGATTTCAAGTTTAGCACAAAAATATTATACATTTCTGTTTAAATTTATAATTACACTGTACAAAAGCAATTGTAACCTCACAAGGTAGAAACTTGTTCGGCATTGCAAAGTGTGCAGCAAAGATCTGGTTTTAGGCTCAAATTATATCAATATATGAAAGTTTATATTTAAAAATTCATTTATTATAAAATTGTATAAAATTATGTGCATTGTTAATTGAGCCCATATGAAACGAAATAAAATCAATTTTGTATGCAAACATACAGACACGCCGCTCGATGCGTTACAATGTCCAACAAGCTTAAGCTTTGAATTGAGTCATGCTGTGCTTACAAGTGGGATCTAGACGTTTGTTAACACAGGTTGTAGAGTGTTCTCGTATCGATTTCTCAAAAGATCTCTAATTGGATTTGATGTTTCCGTTTCCTTGACTCGCAAAGCGCAGTTGCTGTGGTTTGTGAGCTGCCATTATGACTAATTAAACTAATCTAATTGCAAGTAAACTCGGCATATGCGCCCACCTTTCAAATCGTGTTGTATTAGGCCAAATGACAGGCTAGCATTATGTACACAGACGGGGGACATTCTGCCTGCACATATATAACAGATATGCACAAGCTATGTACACGAAATTCAGCGAGTGCACATATTCAAAGGCTTTCGCTGTCATGCAGGCTGCACATACACAAATGCAACGAGCAAGATGCACAATTCACACATACACACTCACATGGAGACAGAACAGCTAAGCACATAAAGGCATACACAAACACACACATACACTCAAAACGCAATCATTTATTATTATTTTTGTGTGCTTTGTCTCTTTGGCACAGAAAAAGTCGCAACGTTTCAGTCGCTGTCGCTGCTGCTGTCGCCGTCGCAGTCGCAGTCGACGTGAGTGTTGCGGCTGCTGCTACTGCTGCTTGACAGAAGCAGAGGTGGCAGCAGGAGGAGGTTGCCGTTGTCCTTCGTACGCTTTTGTGTCAGCTAAGCTCACAGCGCTAAGGCTGAGTAAAACCAACCAGCATACAAAAACAACAACAACGTTGGTAACGACGCGCATGGGGTGGCAATGGGTTAAGGGCCAGCGCAGTGAGTTTTTGGGGGTCGTCACACACACACACACACACACAGCGACAGAAGTCTTACCCTAAATAATTAGCACTATTCAACTGGGGCGACGACGACGACGGCGACGTTGGCGACGTTGATGGGCGCGGCTTTGACTGCCAGCTCGACTGCTGCATGTCCTGTGTCGTGCGTCCTGTGTCCTTGTCATCGTTGTCGCTGTCGTCGTCGTCGTCGTCGTCTGCAGCACGTGCAGAAATTAACATTTCCGGTAATTTTGCGAAAATGAAAAGCAAAGCGAAAAATTAACGGCAGCAGAAACGTAATGCGGAAAGCTTTTGTGTTAAATAAATATTAAAAGCAATTCGCCAGGCCAAGCCACAGCCACACGGCGATGATGACTGTGAGGGAGTGAGAGAAAGAGAGAGAGAGAGAGAGAGAGGCAGCAGGAATGTGAGTGAGCCGAAAAGACTGTGAGGTTGGCTTTTAAAAACAAACCGAAACGAGTAAATCGCTGCTGTGTGTATATGTGTGCGTGTGAGTGTGCACACATTTTTATTTAATAGGAAATTGCGTATACGCCACCATTAATGAGCCCATTGTAAAAGCAGTCGGCGGCAGGGCTTAGCTGGTTGCCATTTTTCGTAGCCGTGATTGAAGTTTAACTCAACTAGGAACAGTCGCAGGTTCAGGAGCAGGCCCTCAGTCAAATTGCGACTCACAGCTCGAGTTGTTGTCATTATTGTAAGTCAATTGTGTATTGTCGTTGTTGTTGCTGTTGCCAGCTCAAAGGCGAAACGACAATTGAGGCATGCACGCAACTTGCGAATGACTTCACATTGGATGGCTGCCTGGTTGACTGGCTGGCAGTCAGACTTTTGGCTTATTGGAGCCACCGAATGTAATATTCATGAGCCGGAACGAAAAGCAAAGTTCTTATTGCTGTTGCTGTACTGGCAGAAAGAGGGGCGAAGAATGCGGGAATAGGCTGCCCGAGTGAGACAGACAACCGTGCACGCTAATTGCAGTCAAAGGCTGCTTTAAATTTACCTCGCATAGGCAGCCAAGACAACCTGGTGCTGTATTGGCAGCTCGTCGCTGCCAGCTTTTCTTTAGGCCGCCTCGTCAACTCGTTGCCTGATTAAAACCGTGCGTATGTAATGAGTTAATTAAGTTTTTGGTATCGCGGAAGTAGTCCTACCATTCGTTTAGCTACTGTATCATCGTGTAGACCAACACACGTGCACATAAATTAATTAAAAATCCTTGGCAGACGCACGGCTGTTACAAGTGTTTTGTATATTTGCAGAGGACGCGTCTGCCCCGGCTTGAAAGCGTTAACAACCTGCAGCCCAGGACACTGCCCATGCGGCTTGGAAGTGTGTCAGTAGTGCGCTGCCTGCCACGCCCACTTCTCTACCTTTTCATCACAGGCGGAAGCTCGGCCTATGTATGTGTGCTTACAGCTTTATTTAGTTTGCGTTGCCAGAGTTGTTGTAAATTGTATGTTATCCGTTTCCCCTGTTTGTGTTGCCCTTATTTATGTGTTGAGTCGTTGGATATGTGTGAGTGTGTGTGTGCGTATGTATGTGTGTGTGCTGATTTGCCATTGTTATTTATGCGTTTGTGCTATACCTTATTTCCTGTTTGTCTTACATAAGCTGCAACGCTTAATTACACGCAATCGCATAAAGTCAGAGAATCGCAGGCAACAGCTAAGTGTAGGCAGCCCTCGAGTTGAATGGAACAGATTTATCGCTGGCTGTATGCAGCAAAGTGAGGGTTGTCGATAGACTTCCTAAGGTAAATATGTATGTCACCTTTGCATATATGTTATCGATTATGCATAGTAAAATCTATGCAAAAAATCACTTTCAAAATCCATGCGGCCATTGACCACATGGCGTATGCTTAATCGCAATGGCAATTATGTACTCACTGGCTAAATGGCAATGCATTAAAGCTAAAAGCGTTTAGTGGCTAGTCGAAAAGCCACCAGCTGACCGACTGCTGGGACTGCCCGCTGTCATATAAAAGCCTAAAAAGAGTAAACAATTTGACGCTAACAACCGCAAAACGTGCGGACCGACAAAGCCCCAAAGCCCGAACCGCCCACAGTTTAACCCAAAAAATTGATGAATATGTAAGCAAATAACGAAGACTAACACGCAGCGGGTTGCCATACATACTAATACACTGGATAAGTATATGCGGGTATATATATGCACATATATATATATATACATAAAAAAAAGGATCAAAGTCCTGAGGCGCGTTAATTTTCCCAAACGTCAGCAGAAAAGTAAATCGGTGCCCAGTTGGGTCCGATACGGCTGGGATGCGTATCCAACACAAAAATATGAATGCCGCTCAGCCGTTCAGCCGCACAGCCACAAATTATATTGAAATGTTAATAATCCAGTTGCTTAGACATGCTGTGCAGCGTTGGGTCGCACAAAAAGGACAACTCAACTGCAAAAGGATATTTACATGGAGATTTGCAGGCGGCTGCCGCTGCCGACGCTGACTTATGACTTTGATCAATGTCGGGGCACCCAATCAATTTGGTCCATTCTACATTTGCCGCATTTATGTGCCTTCGAGAGTCACTTATGCCCGCAATTTGGCACTGCGGTTATCTTTGGGAATAGGATACGGACCAGAACCAGGAACAGGAACAGGGACAGGGCAGCAATTGAGAGACAGGAACAGGGACATGCTGCCTGTTCGTGTTTACATTCTACCCTCCCATTCACTGCCATGTCGCTTTGATATATGACACACAATTTGACTACACTTGAGAGATGGGCGTGGGGGCGCTCTTGGGGGCACTGATAAGCGACTTGGCTCAGCAAATCTTTAAATTAAATTTGCCGACTCAAATCAGCAAGCATTATAAAGTATAATGTGCTTTTAATTTCATTCATTTGCAGGCTGCTTGGCCAGTTGAATGGTAGGTGGATTGGCCGGTGGACTTGGGGCTGGCGGATGGGAGCTGGGGGGAATACTAAATGAAACTAAAAGATCTAATTAGCGTTTAGCGAGCGTGCACAGCGAACAGGGAATAGCGACGGGCGTCAACTTAAAGCAAACTTTGTACTTTAATTTCAAGTTAATTACGCGCACTCGCAACTAAGTAAATGCCTGCCTGCCCGCCTGCTGAAACCCCGTTGCAAATGCATCTGCCACGCCGTTGCCAGCAGCAAGTTTCCGCAGCAGTTTGCAAAACTGAAAGCCAATCAACTTATTTAGCCTCAACTGCTTTGCCAGCTGCCTGCTGTCTGTTCCTCTTGTCGGTTGTCTGTTTAATGAAACAGCAGTCACTTTAAGGACTCTCAACGCTCAACACTCAGCTGCTCAAGTCAGTCGTTGACATTA